ACACACACACACACACACACATATATATATATATATATATATATATTATATATATATATATATATATATATATATATATATATATATTTACATAATACATATACATATACACACGTATACACAGTACACACACACATTCACATATACAAACACACATACATATATATACATACACATACGCATACATATATTTACAATGTATGTACAAATGGTCACAAATATTAAAACAATTTAGTGTTTTACACATTATAACATTATAAATAAATGTTACACACTCATTTCGTATATCAGTATGAGTTCTCCATGTACTTTAACAATAGGAATTTCTTTAATAAACATTTGAAAGCCGGGAGAGATGGCTTGTCTCGTATATATCTAGGGAGCTCATTCTAGACTTTGACACCCTGATATAACATGGAAGTTTGTGACTGTGAGGTTTGCTCAGGAGGTAGTTGAAGATTTTGATTTGAGGGGGACCATTCCAACGGAACAGGTTATTATTAGCATTGTTAGTTTTAGTGCCGCGTAGAGTCTAAACCATGTCGTATGGGGATGTTTCCTATGATCATTCCTCCTGAGGTTCGATATAGTTCGTATCAATTTCTTTTGTGTTATTAATAGAGGTTGCCACATATTCTGTGAATGTCCTCCCCATATAACATGGCAATAAGTCTGTTATTTATCAACCCTACATATATGTATATATATATATATATATATATATATATATATATATATGTGTGTGTGTGTGTGTGTGTGTGTGTGTGTGTGTGTGTGTGTGTGTGTGTGTGTGTGTGTATGTATGTATATATGTATATATATATTTTGTATAAATATGCATATATATGTATATATATCTATATCTATATCTATCTATCTATCTATCTATCTATATCTATATATATATGTGTGTGTGTGTGTGTGTTTGTGTGTGTGTATGTATATATATAATTATATATATATATTTATATATTTATAGCAACCAATCGAAGTAAACATAGCGTAAATAGTATTTTTTTTTGTGTTGTGTGTGTGAATGAGGCTAAACCTAGGTAGTTTGTAACAAAGAGTGTGATTGGTCGAATGTAAATAACCAATGAGTATATTAATGAATATTTTTTAAAACTAAGTAAGCCATTTAATCTTCCGTTTTCTTCAAATAAGTGATCACAAAACATGTAATACTAGTTATCGTTGATTTTGTAGTTGGATATTCCTCAAATGCGATATCCTCGAATTGTTTGTTTATCGCAACGGCAACACCTATGGTGTGGAGGCGGCATTTCCCCAGTCTTCCAACACAAGAAGTATCAATGATTTTAGCTTCATGCTTAAATATCTCTGTATAGCAGCAAAATCAAACAGAAATGTGCCAAAGATCTTTGTAAATACTTCTCGTACTTGCACCATAATCGATCTAGTAAAATGATATACGTTTTTCCTCTTTGCCAGAACCAAACACCTATTTTGAATAAACAGAACCCAAGCTACATTACATTCTTCTTTACAGAATGCATAGATTCTTCATCATTGTGTGTGCGTGTGTGTGTGTATATATAAACATAATAAGGCAGACATATATAGATACAAACAACATAATCTTTATTAATATCTATCTATTTATCTATATAATATCAACCCATATATATATATATATATATATATATATATATATATATATATATATATAT